CAGGGGCAGAGGCTTTGCCATGGGCCAGCCCGTGGCCACACATGCTCTTTTCTGCCATCCTATGGCTGCCACTGCCATGGAGGCAGAGGCCATGGCTGATGCCAGGCTGGGAACGCAGTGGACCCAGGCAGGGAGCCATTCTCATTTGCTGATCTAAGAACACCATCCAGTCTCTCCCTTTACACACTTAGAGTCTAGCCTCCAGGCAGAACAGAGATGAAGGAGTGGAAGATGACAGTGGAAAGAGGGCAAACACAGGGCACAGAGGACACAGGGGAGTGACACTCAGCCCAGATGGTCTGAGGGTAGGAAGACATCCCGTGGGTAGGGTCCTCAGCAGAGTTCTGAAGGAGGAGTGATCAGGGAACATAAGAGCCCTGGAGAATGGTATGAAGAGTTTGGGGAAGCATGAGCGCGTGGGAACTACAGGGAGGAAGGCGCTGTCTTGGAGTCAGATAAATGTTCCTTTGAGCTCTTAGGTGTGACCTCAGAATTGTGACTTTATTTCCCTGACCGCCTTTGACTCTCTCTGTAATGACAGCTGAACCTGCCTTCAAGGATGATGTTTGTAAGCTGTAAATGTACACATAGATAGTATCAGAACATTGCCAACTTACATTTGATGACCATTAAATAACACTGTTGCAGCTGTCACGTAATTAGACATAGAGTGCAGTGTTATGGGAGAAGGAAGTGAGTGGTGGGCCGAGGAGATGAGTGTCCACTTCCCTGAGTACACGGCCTCTCGGTCATTTGAGCAGGGAGAGGCAGAGTGATTACTGTCATCATTGTATAGGTGAGAACTGAGAGTAGCCATTCATATACCAGATAGTGGCTCAAGGAGTGTTTGTTTGTTTGTTTGTTTTGGTACCAGGGATCGAACTCGGGACTTTGTGCTTGCAAGGCAGGCGCCAGAACCACTGAGATAAATCCCTGGCCCAAGAAGTGTTGAAGAAAGGATGATTTTTGAAATGTACTAAGAAGGTAGAATAAATAGCACTTGATGTAAGAAATCGAAGGAAAGGAAGATATGATTTAAGAATGTTTGTGGGATTTCCAGTTTTAAGCCATTACAGTTGATTGAAGGAACAGATTAATTCGACCTTGAAGCATCTGTGAGGAATATGTGAGGTAGAGAGGTCTGCCAGGCCTGAGGAGGCAGAAAGCAGTTGAAATGATGAGAATGCATGAGAGTCCCCTGGAGGCGGGGAGAGTGGAGGGTGAAGAAAAGACCATCCTAGTAAGAAAGGCAGAGTCCACAAAAGTGAATGAGACTGAGTGGCCAGAAAGAGGAGAGCTAGGAGAAAAATCTAAGAGTCTCACGTCAAAACTTAAGCTAATATTAGGTCTGAAAAGTGCTTCTTGGCCAATCAGTTGTGAGTTGTTAGTGACTGGGAAGACAGTGCAGGGTGAGCCTGCTGAGAAAGAAAGCCTGGAGGAGTGGAGGGATGAAGAAGGTGTGGTCTCCACCAGAGGTGAGGGGGAGGCCCTCAGGCTCCTTTACCAGGGAGGAAGAAAAGAGCTGAGCGGCCCCTGCCTGCTGCCTCTGTTCCCCTGATGCACATTCCCATGAGGCAGCTCGCTCAGGGAGAGGATTTGAGGAGCGTGTGTGTGAGCTCTGAGGAGTTGGGCTCGGGTCTTTCTGGCGAGTCCAGGGAGATCTTATCCCTGCCCCATCCTGCACTCCAGGTGTGTGTATGTGTGCGTGGGTGCCCACCCAGGAGTGTGTACCTAAGTATCTTTGTATCTGACAGACACTCGTTGGAATTACCTAAGGAGGTGATCCTATTATTTTGAACACATGATAACTCTTTAATAAAATCTTGTAAAATATATCCAACAATTTTTATATATTAGTGGACCTTGATGTAAAATTATTTTGTACTGTGACACTAAATAAGCAGACCAGTGTTTCAGTGTAGCTCTAAAATTCTATTATTTGACATAAGCATAGTTTATTTTATAAAATTACATTCTTTCAAAGATATAAACTTTCATGTCTCTAGAAAGAATCTATATTTGGGCTTCTCACTAACCCGACTGCTCCCTGCTGCCCTTCTAAGCAGAGTTCATGATTGGCCTGACAGTGTCTTCTCTGATAGGGAGACGCTTGTCATTCATGGGACTCTCTCTGCAAGCTATTTGCATATGCCTATCCTTCCCAAGTAAAACATTGTCTTAGGCATATGATTTTAAGTGTTATGTATATTAGGCATAGAGAGCACTCCTACTGATTTGTTGACAGTGGTCAGTGCTTAATATTAACCCAGATGCTCCTCATAGTGGCCCCAGGAGGGACAGGCTGTTATCGTCATCTGTATTCCCCAGGTGTGGAAATTGAGGTGCAGGGTGCGGAGGCTACTTGGTGACTTCCCCAGGCACCCCTGGTAGTTTTGGTGAGTCAGATCCGTAGCCAAGCGTCTGTATCTTCCCCACTTTGCTCTGCTGTTTCTCCAATGCATCTTATCACTGTTATTTACTAGCAAAGATTGGAACCTAAGTGGAGTGCCTGTGTGTGTCACTCATGTGTAAACATAGTGATTTTTCAAAATCATGCTAGTAAAAGAATAAATTTTTTTGCTAGAAATGAGAACTAACACACCGTGTGCTAATTAAAAACTCAGTTAACCAAGTAGGATAGATCCTTCGGTGGAGCTGTGTGACGCTGCCTCTGCCTTCAGAGGCACTGTGAAGGTCTAAGCTGTGTGAGTCAGTGGTTGTGTAGTGCTGCACATTGCTTTTTTCTGCCATGGCCTCAAAGAACAGTTCAGCACCTGAATCAGGGAATCAACCCTGAACTCAAGACCATTACTGGTAGAAGGATTCTGGCCAGCTCAGCTGTTAGTGGTGTGGGCCTTCCAGTTAAGTAAGTTACACTTACTTACATTCTACAACTCTTGCAGTCCTGACACCGGCAAATGAGGTAATGACCCAGTAGCATTTAAAGTGATGAAATACACTGAAACCAAAAATCTAATGACTTAATACATAGAGTTTTATTCAGTTTAGGAATTGTTGAAGAGTTTGAAAGCTGAGTTGGTGTCTCCTTGGGAAATGAAGGGCCTTCGCTCTTCAGGCCTCAGTTCTGGGAAACGAGGACTAACAGGAGGTCAGGACTGGGTCCCCTTGGCTTGAGTGATTAATCCTCCTAGCCTTGAGACTGAGCACAGAGGAGTATCCCGGGGCTGTGGCTCTAGTAGATGATCTCTTAGAGTATGAGGGGTGCAGACAGTGCTCGCTTAAGTGCACTGCTCATTGCTCTCCAACATCATGGCTTATATTTTCTTAAGGAAACAGGTGTGGATTTCTGCCACATTGAATCTTGAGGAAAATTGAAACCCCACAAGAAATAGAAGTCAAATATTATTGTCTCTTTGCTTCATTGGGATTACTAAAGTTATCCCATATCTCAAAAAATTCATTTACATATGAACTAATTACTGGATTTTTCTGTGATCATGGTATCTGTTAAGATTTTCGTTTGTAGTAAATTTTTGCATCTCTGGGGACAATGTGATAAGGATTTTTAAAGCTTGCTACCTATTTTAATATTTTCGTTAATATCCATTTTAATGATTGTTTAGTAAGTTTTATGTGACTTTAGCGTAATTGCTACAAGAAAGTAAAAAGTTTTTCTAATGCCTGTGGATTGTCTTAATGAGAATGTTGTGACATTTTGATAGGAAAATGCCATGTCAAAATTGCCATTCAAGTTGTAACTTGAACTTTACAAATTTTGTTCACATTTTACCCTTTCTTCACCGTGGTGAAACAATGTGAAGCAGTTTGAGAGAGAGAGGTCCACGGATTCTGAGAACAAGTCTGGTCTCCACTTCCTGACCTAAATGCTGTTTATATGAAACTGGGCCTGGAGAGTCAGAATGCTTTAGTGGAGCGGTGCCCTCTAGCTGTGATTTAAGGAATTGGCTACCCCAAATAGTACTTATCATTTAGTGTTAAGGGGAAATAATGTTTATAACATTGTTTATGCATTTCTCAAGCTACTGCATATCTTCATAATTTTATTGGAGAGGAAGCATATTAATTGAAAGTAAATGACAAAGTATTGAGGTAGTATTTGGTCTTTAACTGGTCTTAAGTTTTCTTTAAATTTGTGAGCTATGTATCCCCAGGGCTTTTGCTGAGGGAGGGCAGGTAGGCAAGTGATTTTATGATTTCCAAGGGATCAGTGTTTGGGTTGCTGAAAATGACAGAGTGCCAACATATCAGGCAAGTAGAAATTATTTGTATGATTGGATTTTGTTCTGATCAAGAGTTACTCTCATTGATATCTATTAATTATATTTTCCAAATAGTTGTCAGAAAACTACAGCAATCAATGACATCAGTGTATAACATAAATTGTTTTCTTTACCATAAAAGTTCTCCACACAACTGAAAACCTACAATTTTGAAAGAATCAGTAACGAGAGTGTATAAGCATACTACCTAAAGTCATCCTGTGGTGTATTTTCAAGTGTCAGATAACCTTCAAAATGCATTTTGTCCTTAACATAGGAACACTTTTCTTTATTCTCATGCTGAACTGTAAGCAGCCTAACCAAATTTAAATTAACTTTGGTTGCATTTTCCATAGCCCCCAAGTCAGCTGTTTCCCAAGAGTAGAGAAACTGGGTCCAGTGGATTCTTGTCTTGATCTTAGTACATAAAGCTAAAATGCCACCTTCATTGTTGGCTTTCAGTAATGCGGTGAGAGTGTCTTCCCTGCCTGACTCAGGCCTCAGGACCAGTAATTTTTATAGTCTCTGAAATGCACTATTTGATGCCTGGTTACAAAGATTTACTCTTCTCCTAATGAGGAAAATTTAGGAGTGTGGTGGAAGAACAAGAAGTTCATTTGATAATAAAATGTTTTTGTCTTGGTAGTGGTGATGTACACATTTTCCCTCTGTGATCTGATCTCAAATGAACAGAAGATGTCCCCTGGAAGAATTTTGAGCCCTGTGTAATGTCTTTGTCTATTTGCCATTGTTTTCTAGCATCCTCCAGGACAAATAGCAAGGAAGTACAGCTCCTGTTCCACGATCTTCCTAGATGATAGCACAGTCAGTCAACCAAACCTCAAGTACACAATTAAATGGTGAGTATACAGACTTCGGCCTTGCTGAATGCTTATTCTGTGCCTTAACCTGATGGCTAAGCTGGCTCCTTGTGGGTCTGGGAGTGATAAGATCGGCTGGTGGGTAGAAGGGGTACTGAAAATTCTAGAATTATTAAAAAATGGCTTTTGAGTTAAGATGTGGGACATTCAGAATATTTGTGCTTATTACTGTTTATATAGAAGACCAACATTTGAAGTCATTTTCGATGTAGATGATCCAACATGTATCTTTTAACTTTTGTGCATAGTTTGTACCCTTTTGTTTTGGATTGAAGCCATCCTGGCATAATTCTTTCTCTAAAGAGAGCATGGCTCCTTTAGGCTTGCAAGAAGCCCACTTGGCATGGGACAGGTGTGCACCTAGGGGCAGAAGAGCTGATATTGATTGGCCTTCTCACCAATAGCGAGGTTTGAATTAGGAGCCTTCCGAGTGGGGTCTTTAGTTCCTTATTTAAAATGGAATCAAAAGAGAGGGAGTCTTTGGATCGAATCCTTTCCTCTTACAGGGTAATTAGTTTTCTGATTTTAAGAGGTTTCACTGTAATGTTCCCACCAGCATTGAGATAGCAGCCACCCTTAATAGAGATCATGGAAAACTTGATGTGCTAGGGTCTAGATTTAGGTACTCAAGTGTGAAAAGTCTAGGGGTTTTTTGCCTCTGCAACACTTGTTTTAGAAAGTGCACATAGTTTTGTCATATGTTACCATATGAAAAAAGTGCTGACATTTCTGCTAATGAAGTATTCTATTTAAATGAGCCAACTTTTCAGGCTCACAAGTCCTGTTCTGAATGGGACTACGTGTGATGATCAGGTTTTAATCAGGCAGTGAGGACTATAAACATTTCTGTGGACAGTCCAGGCTGAAGGCAGAAGGCGAGGCTTCTTGGATGGAGGTACCTGTTTATGTAAAGTTCCATCTCTTCTGCAGGGTGACATACTTCTAAGATCCAGATAGGAATGTAGCATATGAGGAGCATGCCCAAGGCCTAGTGGACATGAGAAGTCCAATGGGAAGAGATTCATCTAGCTACCCACTACATTTCCCTGTGTGACCTTGCCGGAGCCAGTTACCACCCTTGGGCTGGAGTTCACTGCTGGGAAATGCAAGAGCGGTACCTCCTGGAAGTGTTTTGTAGATGTTAGGAGTAGGGGAGGTGTGGAAACCCCTGAAGGTCTGTGCACTTTGTGGCTCCTGGCACCTGCTCGATCTCTGCAGATCCCTGAATGAAAGCTTTCCCACCAATCCTGCGATGTTATGGGCAGGAAGCAAAGAAGAACAAGGAACAAGACAGCATTGCTAGATTTAGGGGCAGTGGGAACTCTTGAGACTCACAAGTAGATCTGACTTAGCTCTCAGCACTTCATCTTTGGATGACTTAAAATGACCACTAGCTTGGGCATAGACACTGGGAGCCTAGTGGGAAAACTAGGTAACATTTGCTAGTCCGTTGGTCACGTCTGGAAAGCAGCCACCTGAATTACAAATGTGTGCCTGTTTAGTCCACTGATTCCAGCCTAACTGCACCTATGGTCACCGGAGAGCATAAATGCTTCCCATTCAGATGCTGATTGAATCTGCCCAAGTATAGCTGAGTATTTGGACTTTTTTGTGGTGCTGGGGTTTCAACCCAGGGGCTTTGTCACTGAGCTACATTTCCAGCCCTTTTTATTTTGAAACAGGGTCTCACTAGGTTGTCCAGGTGTGACTTAAACTTGTATCCTCCTACCTCAGCCTCTTAGAGTGCTGGATTACAGGCGTGTGCGTCATTATTCCAGGCTGCCTGGACTTTTAAACTACACTATGAGATTGTTGTAGGCAACCAAGGTTGAGGACCCCTACGGGGCTGTGCTGTGTGTGAGTCTTGTGCACAGTGTCCTCCCTTCCCAGGTTTACAGCCCTTTGTGCAGATTGAATAGCTGAGGTTATCATGATACCCAGTCTGGCCTTTGGCTTGGGAGGAGACAGAGACCTTGGAGTCCTGAAGATTTCCACTCAGTCCACAGAAGCCAGAACTGTTGATAGGGCAATAATGATAATAGAAAGGAGATAATGCTTTTTTAAAGTTTTGGGTTGTTCTGTTTTGTTTTGGTACCCAGGATCGAACTCAGGTCCTTGCGCTTGTGGGGCAGGCGGCGGAACCACTGAGCTAAATCCCTGGCCCTTAAAGTTTTGTTTTATTTGATCATTATAACAACTCTGTGATGTGGGTTGTGTTGTGCTAAATAAAGTGAGGCCATGAAGATCCGGAGAGATGATGATACTAACTCAGTAAGTGAAGGAGTGCGAGCTGGAATACAGGTACAGTGGCCATCCCTGCCATCAGACCAGGGATATTTCTCCTGTGTCACCTTCCCTTGCAGGGAAGGGCAGGAACCATTTTCTTTCTAATCAGCCACAGATATTAAGCTATGCCCTACAGTAAACCCAGTCCTATGAAAAGCCCATCACTTCAGTCTGACATTGAATTAGAAAAGCAGTCATCACAGCGTGACTTAAATGAATACCCCAGTAATTTTTCTTTTTTTTCCAAGGGAGCGTGGTAGAGGGGCAAAAAACCATTATATGAGTCCGAAATGTTGGCATCTACTCTCTGAACCTGAGTTTCCTGTTTATAAAGTAGGATTAGTAACAGCCACTATTTTCTGTTCCAGGGCTGTTAATGTACGCAAAAACACTTTGAAAACTTACTACTATTGTTTTAAACTTCTAAAGCCCCTTCACCCCAGTTATAATCAGCTCATCACCTTAAACTCTTTTGAAAATGTTTCCATTTGCTCATGACCATTTTTAACACTTAACTGAAATCATTTGAATGAATAGATCTAGAAAGGGAAAGATTTGGAAGAATGTGAGCTTTGTGTGAGAGCAGGATTAGCCATTGTCACGTCACGTTACAGCAAACATCTGAGCTCTTTGGAATCTGCGGTATAAGCTCAAATCTCTGAGCTTGTGCCTTCCCATGCATTCATCTCTATGTTGATTTCCTGGATGGATGACACAGTTTTATTTTTCTATTTTAATCTGATAAAAGGAGATATTAATAAAGAAAATGTAAAAGACTCTTCTATGAAAAAATAAAATTTCATAATAAAAATAATAACAATAGTTAATATACTGTGTATTGTAATCTTAAAAGAATGGCTAAAATGTTACTCAGAGTACAGGTCATAGACAAAAAAGACACAGGGAAGAAACAAACAAAAGCACAAAACTTCTTCAGTGAACTGAGAAACTAGTATAAAGGTAACAAATTTAGCACATACATTAAAATATTTTTGAAACACCAAAATAATTTGGGGAATTATTTGGACTTCTCCTTACTTCCAGTGTATCTATCTTCAAGATAGATAGATACTCATATAAGAGAGCCATGCAATATTTAATTGTATATCTCATTTCACTTAACATTGTGTCAAGTTACATCCATTTGCCTATGAATGCCTCACATTTATCTTTCTTTATGACAGAGTAGTACTCCATTGTACCACAGTGAATAAATGTATAAATACAATATTTCTTTATCCATTCATCTATTAATGGACATATACCCAAGATCTAGCTATTATAAATTGTGCTGCTATTAACAGGGGTGTGCATGTATCACTGTAATACCGTAATTTTGACTGTTTTGGAAAGACACATAGAAGGGCCATAGCTGGGCCAAATGGAATTTCTATTTATAGTTTTTTGAGGAATCTCCATATTGATTTCCATAGTGGTTGTACTGTTTTACCTTTTCACCAACAGTGTAGAAGTGTTCATGTTTCCCCGTGTCCTCGCCAGCATTTGTTATTAGATTTTTTGATGATAGCCATTCTTTCTGGGGTAAGACAGTAAATATCCCAGTGTAGTTTTAATTTCTGTTTCTGTAATGGCCAGCAACATTGAACATTTTTTCATGTATTTATTGGCCACTTATACTTCTTTTTTTGAGATACGTCTATTCATTTTAGCTGCCCATTTTGTGACTGGGTCTTTTATTTGGGAGCTTTAATTTTTTGAGTTATTTTCCACCACCCATTCATGATAAAAGCCCTGAAGAAAATATACGGAGGGACCCAAATTCAATCTGATAATGGCCATTTAGTCTACTGCCAACATCATATTAAATGGGGAAAAACTGAAAGCTTTCCCTCTAAGGTCAAGAATAAGACAAGGATGTTCATTATCACCACTGCTGTTCAACATAGTCTTAGAAACATTAGCCAGGACAGTCAGGCAAGAAAAAGAAATAAAAGGGATACATATAGGAAAGGACGAAGTCAAAGTATTTATTTGCAGATGACATGATTCTCCATGTACATGATCCAATAAATTCTACCAAAAGACTCCTAGAATTAACAACTAAATTCAGCAATCTAGTAGGGTACAAAATAAACACACGAAAATTAATAACATTCATATATGCTGATAATAAACTCACTGAGAAATTAGGAAAACAATACTATTCATAATAGCATCAAGAAAAATTAAATACTTAGGAATTAACCTAAGGAAACAGAATACCTCTCCAGTGAAAATTACATGATTCTGCAAAAGGCAGTTGAGGAGCACATCAGAAAATGGGAAGATATCCCCTGTTCCTGGATAGGGAGAACCAAAATGATCCAAATGGCCATACTTCCAAAACTGATTTATAAATGTAATACAATCCCAATAAAAATACCAACAGCATTTCTCACAGACCTAGAGAATACAATCCTAAATTCATATGGAATGAGAAGAGATCTGGAATAGCAAAATTAATCATGGGTAACAAAAGCAAAGCAAGAGGCATCACAATTCCAGATTCGAAGATATACTGCAAAGCTCCTGTGGTTAAAACAGCATGGTACTGGCACAGAAACAGGCATGTGGATCAGTGGAACAGAATAGAGAAAGCAGGAACAAACCCAGGGACACATTCAGCTGTTTGATCTTTGACAAGGGCCAAAAACATACACTACAGGAAAGGTAGCCTCTTTAATAAATGCTGCTTAGAAAATTGGTTGTTCACAGGCAGAAGAGTTAAGTCTAGACCCATATATCTCATCATGTACTAGACTAAAATCAAAATGGACCAAAGATTGAAATGTTAAAACAGAAACACTTCATCTTCTGGAAGATACAATCTATAGAATAAATTCTTGAAGACATAGGCGTAGGCAAATTCTTTAAGAACAGAAGCCAGTGGCACAAGAAATAATACTGAGAATCAACACTGAGATCATATCAGATTAAAAAGCCCCTTTACAACAAAGGAAACAGCCAACAGAGTTAAGAGACAACCTACAGAATGGGCAAAACATTTTGCCAGCCATTCCTGTCAGTCAGTACTAACATCTAGCATGACGGTTTCTGTGTCTTCAGAGGACCAGAACACAATCTGATACAGCCAATTAGCTATGTTCTTAGAACATTTAAGGGGAATTTTTTTTTTGGCCACTTTTAGTTTGTCAATAACTAAAATACTTTGAGCAAAGAGGAAAGGATCTAGCCAGTTTATAAAAGAGGAAATTAAAAAAGATTAGTCTCCATCCTGTTGGAGAATATTTTTTCAAAAGACTGAAAGTGTCAGCAAGTGTGAGGTGAAACCAACCCTGGGGGAAGTACATCAAAGGGGTCTGCAGAAATGTTTGGCCGGAGGTGTTGGGAGCCTTACAATTATTAGTGGCTTTAGACTGTTTAATTCCAACTACAGGATGTTTTCTTATGGAAATGATATGGTTATAGATGGTACATACATTTATCTGTGAGGATGTTCATTATGGTATTGATTATAATTGTTGACTACTAGAAACAAATACCCAATAGTAGGAAAATATTTTAAGTAAATTATTCAACAACCATATGATGAAATATAATCAGCTATTTTAAAATCATGTTTTTGAAGGATATTTTAATGGTAAAAAAATGTTATAGCAAGGATGAAAGTAGGCTGCAAACCTGTTTACAAATTTGGAAATAGTTAACTGTGTCATTATCTTTGGGCAAAGGGAAAGTTTTTCTTTTTTATTCTATATTTTCCCAAATTTATATGATAAATGTACTGTGCTTTGTAGTAAAAAAAAAAAAATGTTTTTAAGAAAAGATTCTGGGGAAGGGACTGTAGTTGTTTGTTAAATTCAGATCTTTTAATATTTAAAATCCAGTTTTACAATAGTGCTAGAAATAGTTCACTTCAAGTGAATGGCTAAGTTTGCCAGGAAATTACTAATTTTAAAACGGGAGGAAAACCCTCTGTGGGTGATACTTACATTTTTCTGGTAGTTATGAAGAAACCACTAATTTTCTAAATCAGTAGGCAATGAGCTAGAAATTTCTAAAGCTATTTAATTTACTACACTGTGCACCACCTGTTTTTTCACAGAGTCCCTGTATTTTACAGGAGAAGAAAGTTTAAAATGTCTTAAAGCAAGAGCAGTTTATTTTAAATATCGGTTGAAATTCTGTGTTTAGAAAAGATTTAATAACTGCTGAAAATGAGTACCAGATTTCTTTAATTGAAGGAGACCATTTTCTTGATCAGCATTTTGAATGAAATGTGACTATTCAGATGGATTATTTGGCTTTTATTTAAACTTAAATATTGCTGTTCAGACTGAACACAGGTACTGTATGAAATATTGAATATGCTTATGAAAGATTGAACCTCTGTTTTATTTTACAGTGTAGCTCTTGCAATATATTATCACATCAAAAACAGGTATGTGGATGATTAATTTGTGCTGAAAACACATCATATTCTATTGTGCTTATTTTTTCCTATTATTCTGTAATTGCCTCAGGCTTTTTCTTTGACCTTCTTAACTCATATTTTCATAGAATTTCTAACGATACAGTATAATTTACTAAAACTTCCCTGGTAAGTGATGAACTACTTCTGAATCAAAAGACACCAAGTGGGTGTTTGGTTGAAATCAGCAGAACAGAACAAAGCTTGATAATGTTAAGCTTCTTCTTCATTCCTTATTTTCTCTTTAATTTGTTTAAATGTTCTTTTATAACATGTTATTTCAAAACTTTTAACAAGAAAAATATTAAATGTATTATATTTTGAATCCATTCAAGGAAATGTTGGCATCCGTTTAAACATAAGCTGTTTTATTGTATTCGAAGCCCTCTCTTGGTATAAAGCGTATTTGGCAATGACTCAGTACATTTAAAAAGTCAGTAAAAACAAGGAATTAAAAAAACTACCTCAAATATGTTATTTCAACATAAAACATGTAAGAATACCTTCATTTGCCTTTCTTCTTCTTCTTTTTTTTTTTTAAACTCAGCAGCAACACTTTTGCTTCAAGCCTGGGATAGTAAGCCATACTTATAATTCATCCTTTCTAGATGCTCCTTCACACACACCAGTAGTGAGAAAACCCAGACATTTGCAAAATACTGACTATAGACTCTTTAAGGTTGTGACCACGCCTACTCTACAGAAAAGTTATTTTTAGTAATTTCCTTTCATTGGATTTCCCAAAGCATCTTCTTAATTTTCCTAAGAACAAAGGCACTCTTATTTTACTGTCCTCGTATTTCATTGATTAATGTGATATTTTACATATATGAGCATAAGAAGTACAGCTGCTGTGATCTGGTTTTGCAGCAAGCAGAGCCACCACCTATCAAGCATGGCGCTCGCCAGTGGTTCACACTCCCTGCAGGCTGTGCACAGTGAGTTAGGAATCAGTAAGTGGGGTCAGTGACAGAGCTCCCGGTGGACAGTGTTCTTGGAAAGCACAAACACAAGACAGGGATTATGTGGAATAATTTTTTCTATATTGTGTTTGTAATTTGCTTAACGTACAAATCCTATAGCCTTGGTGCCTTTGGACTAGAAAAACAGTGAAAATATAAATTTTGTCTTGTTGCTAATTTCTGTGGTAGAAGTTCAAACTTTTAAAATATTTAAGTTTAAAGTAATAGGATTAATGCCATTAGTGAAATTCAGTTGCCCCCACCCAACGTGCACGCATACGCACTGCCGATTGAACCTAGAACCTTTGCACTGAGCTACGTCCCTAGCTCAAAACCCCACCCGTCCCTTTAAATTTTGAGACAAGGCCTTGCCAGAATGCCCAAGGCTGGCCTTAAACTTGCATTCCTAAGATATTTCTTAGTTGTTAATTTTGTTTTGTTTTGTTATTTGGTACTGGGGGTGTAAGCCAAGGTCAGGTACATGCTAAGCTTGCTCTTTTACCACTGAGCCATACCCCAACCCAGAATTCTTGCTTCCTAGGCTATCATGGCTCCTGATATCAATTTAGCCAAAGTTGGTAATGATAACAGCCAACTTTAATAGTGCTTACCCAGACTGCTCTCTAAATTCTTTAAACGCATTATCTGTCTCCTGTAGTTTTAATAGCAAGTCCATGGGGTGATATCGATGGCATCTTCATTATACAGATAGGCAGATTGAGGCACAAAGAGATTAAGTAGTTATGATTATATGAGGAGTACTTGGGCAATTGGTAACTGAATCCAAACAATCTACCACCCAAACCTTTAATCATACTGCTTTTCTAGATTAATGGTAGTAAGTTAGGTCAGTGAGTGGAAGCCAGGCCTGGTGGCACAAACCTATAATCACAGCATTTTGGGAGGCTGAGGCAGGAGGACCACAAGTTCAAGGTCAGCCCAGGCAACTTAACAAGACTCTGTCCCTAAATTTAAAAGGGGGCTGATGGAAGGGCTGATGATATAGTGCGGTATGAATGCCCTGAGTTCAGTCTCCAGTGCTGAAAAAAGTGAGTGGAGGTGGAGATAGTCCAACTAAAAATGTGACTATTTGTGAAGAAGCAGAATTAATCTGTAGATCAGAACCTGCACCTGCAAGTCTCCAGGGAAAGGACGGTGTAACTGCCACAGAGCGCCTCCTCAGTGAGCCATGCAGGGCAAACCCCTGGTGCTGACAAGAGACTTAACATGAGAGAGATGGTGCTGCCCAGTGGAGTATACAGCTTTTCATGGTGGTCGGAAGGAACAGGTCACTTTGCAGAGGGTAGTTTTTTCCAGTCATTTTAGTTCAGGTTCTGAATCTTCATTTCTATTTCCAATCTCCATTTTCATTATTAAAATTACTTCTGGTGAATGTTTCTCTAGAGTGCCTAATGGCCTTGCCGGGGCTGGCATTCATCAGGAAAATTGAGCAGGACCTTTGGTTGCCTAAGACAGTGGGTGCGTAGCCAGGCTTGTCTCCCACAGCATCTGTGTACCTTGTAGAGGGAGTGAGGAGGGTGAGGGAATCTGCTGTTTATGAGAAGGAGCCATTATCAAAGGAAGTACAGCCAGTGCCCCAAGAAGGAGCTGTCCTTGTGCTCTCGACTTCTGCTATTGGGTGGAACCTTTTGCCACTTGTATTTGTCCCAGTCTTTGCTGCCATATTCACACAGGCAGGTGCAGGTGAGCACAGTGTCAGCAGCCAGAGCTTTAATTCCTGTTGGGCAAATGCAGCAATGAAAATGGACCTGCTTTGTTAGTTACTTCTTCAGTTTTACCAATGCCAAACTTAGCAGAAATCATCCTGTTTGTGAAGATGGATGTGTGCTAGGGACAAGTGTGTAAGCCTTCTGATGTTCCTAAGCTTAGCTGATGCTGGAAGCACAAACTGGAAACTTCTGTACGTGCTGTTAGCCGAAAGTAGTGGCATCCAGTTGGGGTTTTTAAAGAAAAAAATTAGGAAAGACTCAAATTAAAAAAAAATGAAGATGGCGCTGTCACTGGTGAGCACAGTGGTTCCCACGGAGCCCAGCAGCCCAAGGCAGGGTACAGACAGTGACACCACTGCTGTAAACTGTGCTGTGCTTACCACCCTGTGACAACCAGCCACTCTGTCACGGGCTTACAGCTTAGCGGGCAAAGCCTTTTTGCTCTTAGGTAATCAAATAGGCTGCTGTTGTAGACATTCCCACCTGGTCTCCAGGACCATTGAAAGGTCATTCTCAAACTCAGACTTTGTCTGGGTCAGCCACCATGTGATTTTGTTTTGTTTGTTTTGTTTTGTTTTGTTTTGGTACTGGGGATCGAACTCCGGTCCTTGTGCTTGCACAGCAGGTGATGAAATGTGGCTTTAATTTATGCAGATCTGTTAGCATTTGCTCAGAAGTAGTGTGTTAAAAGAAATGTAGGTCTTTTGCTTAGATGTAGTTCATATGAAAACTCGGAAAATTAAAATCTAGATTTTTTGCTTAATTAAACTACGTATTTTGGTTCATGTTTATTTTAGGCCTCTCCACCCCATGGGCTGAGTGCAGTCCTGGACAGCAAGTGATGTGGCCCCACAAGATTATAAGCTTTTAGCATTATTGTGATTTTTAGCAGTATTTTCCATGCTTACTTTGCGCAGTCCTTGAGCATGGACTGTTGTAATATTCACTTTCCCATTGCTGAGGGAAAACCCGACACCCGCAACTTACAAAGAAGAGAAGTTTACTTTGGCTCACAGTTTCGTTGGATTCAGGCCTTAGTCAGCTGGCTCCAAGGCAGAAACGGCATGGTGAGGATCCTTGCCAGAGAAAAGCTGCTCACTTCGTGGCAGTCAGGAAGCAGAGACGGAGAGGAGCCTGGACAAGAACATACCTCCCAAATCACACCCCCAGCGACCTGCCCTTCTGACCAGGGTCCACCTCCAGACTGCGGACTCTTGGGGGACATGTTTAGATCTAAGCTGTAACAGGTAGACAAGGCAAGTCTGTAGAGGAGGGCACAGTGCAGTGCTAACTCCACCTCCCGAGCCCAACACACATGGTCACGTTGAAACTCACAGGTGCCTCAGACACTCCACGCCCACCTAGGACATGGCGAGGGAAGCACAGCATTGCCAGTAATGGTCTGTCTGCGAAGACAGGTCTTCACTGTTACTAAGCAGACTTGTAAGTTTCCTTGTTAACCATGGGCTTATGTTATGTTATTTTAATGTTATAAAATATTAAAAAATAAAGGAAGTTTGGGTACTTATCTATTAACTATGTTATTTACTTGATATGAGGCTTAAGACAACCCTCTATAGTCAGTGCAGCCCAGGCAAGCCAAAGGTTGAACATCCATACTTTATTTCCATGGACTACTCAAAGCTGCTTAAATATTGTGCCCAAGAAAGACTGGTCTTTATTCACCAATAACTGCCATCTCTTAAATTTAGCACTGTTTCTTGAAATAAAGTTGAATCACATTGTATTTTTCTTATATTTTAAACGATACTCATTATTGCAAAGAATAAATTCCATTTTCTGTTATTCCCTCCCTCTCCCCAGGGACCCAGATGGAAGGATGCTCTTAGATATTTTTGATGAAAACCTTCACCCTCTTTCGGTAATCTCCTCTTTGTGTCATGAGATCATTTAATTTTCTTTTGCACCTATTGGATATCCAGTCATATGACAATATTTCCTTCTATAGAAATCTGAAGTGCCACCAGATTATGACAAACACAACCCAGAGCAGAAGCAGATTTACCGGTTTGTTCGGACACTGTTCAGTGCTGCGCAGCTGACAGCTGAATGTGCCATTGTCACTCTGGTGAGTACATTTGGGTCGCTCCTCCAGTTCACCAGAGTAGGGGCATACACAGTGTCTTCACCAAGTAGCCCTGGGGAAACTGCCTAAATGTGATGATTTCTTTTCTCCTGGGAGACTATAGAGTATGTGTATTTGAAAAGAGAATGTTCCACAGTCCTCACCTGAAAGTCATTTGTGAAGTCACATTCAACCAATAAATTACTGGAGTGTTGAAAGCAGGTAAGTAAGACAGTTGGGCTAAGGGAGACTAAGAGGAGCCAAGACCACCCCCTGTTAATATCTGGTTGCCACGTGTTCATTCCTTATAATGATGTTAATGACATCAGTGAGGTATGATGAATATATAGCATCTTATATAAACATCTGGGTAGGAAGGATGTATATATTGCAAGCCTGTGATTTATCATTTTGATATAGTGTGTCTATAAAATATTCTGACAATATGGAAGTTATCTGCATTTTAAGACTTAAGACAAAAAGTGAAAATGGTCTTTAGATTCTTGCAACTGGACTCTTTAGGTCAAATCGCCTTTGGGAAGAGATTTAACAGTGGAATCCGTTGTCCATGACCTTTATACTGTGTGTAACTCAGGTAAGAAATTAGCTTTGCTGTGAGTGAGCTATCCAGGAGATCAGAATACCCTTCCCTGTAGCTTCTAAGTGACCACTGTGTGACAGAAATTGTACAGGCGACCTGGGGACTCTCGTGTCCTTTCCACACTAAGAACTCTGTGCCTTTAGCTTAGTTCCACAGTAAACATGTATGCTTATGCATTTATCTGCTCTTGTAATTGTTTATTCTTTCTCACTGAACTTGCAGGCTAAAGGGCAAACAGATGTTCGAGTCATTGTTTGGTGATTTAGAATGATTATAGGTTCTAAGGTTATAATTGAGAACTATATTTATTTTGTTTCCCAAAAGGATTTCAGTCTCTTACCAAAAACACAAAGCAACAGGTTTGAGATTTTTGTGTAGGGAAACTGAAGAGAATCTATGCCTGAAGGAGGGCAGAAGGTAACGTGTGAAGGAACCATTGATGGGAGTAATACTGCAGTGAATGCCGTGAAAAAGGGTTCTTTCCAAGCTGCAGTACAAGGTGGTGGAGACATTTTTCTTTTTCACCTTTTCTTTGGGCGGAAAATAAGAGCTGACTCTGACCTAACAGTGCCTAATTGCTTAAATGTATTATTAGAGTGAAGGAGAGGATTTGACCAGGGAAGACAAGGCTAGTGATTAAGTCCCTGCTTCTCGCCCATTTCCCTAGTCTAGACCGAACATAGAAGTGCATCCCCCAGCATCCTCTGATGGCAGCAAGGCCAACAGGAGGATGGACTGCTTCCTGTCTTTGGAGTACTGTAGGAGTGGCACCTTTTTTGTGAATAATTTTACGACTGAAGTCTTCATTTGCCCTGTCAGGATATTGGTTGCTACTGGAGGAGAGCAGCTCTGGAGTCTTTGTGCTGGCCTGGCACAAAAGTCCAGTACTACTGCTGCTCACCCTGGGGAGAGGCAGCCTGCATGCTGTGGGCAGAAGTTAGGCAGACAGTGTTCTCAGGGAGACCTGTTGGCTTCGTGTTTCCTTCTCATATCCTCAAGGGGTAGAAGCAGTCATTTTGGACAGATCTGGTTCAGAGTTTTCAGACATGCCTCTCTCCCTGCGTTCCTCCTGCGCATATGCTTGGCAGCTCTGTTACCATGCTGTGGAGAAGGGGCCAAAGTTATTTGTGGCTTTGCTGCTGGTAAAGAATGAGCCTACAGCTCCCTTCAGAGATGCAGAGTCTAGTTAACCCAAAGCAGGTATTTCACAGATCAAAGGACAGTTTTAAAAGAGTAACAGTCACATAGTATCACAAATATTTTTTTAGCCTTATAGAACATGCTAAAAACTCTCTTGATATTGGCACGGAGGGAAATTAAAATAGGGGGTGAGGTCATTGAATTTCTGAGTTAAGTTATGTTTTTCACATAAGATACTTTGTAAGGTTGCCATCCCCAGCTGAGAAAAGTGAGGTCCATCATGGTGAGGTGGGCAAGCCATAGCGCTCCAGGGCCACGAGAAGGCACCCATTTCAGTTGCATACGTTACTTGGGCAACAAAAGAAAGTTCACCTCCTGCCCAAGCCAGGGAACTTTGTAAGGATGAGGAGCTTGTACAGGGGCCAGATATTCATGTATCAGCAGAGTAGCTTTAGCTTAGCAGGAGGGTGGGGAGGTGAGTGTGGGTTGTGCAGAGTTAGTGGGACCTTGATAGAAAACTTTATAAATTTTTTTCTCTTCAGTAAAGACTTGTCTTGCACCTTGCTGTCATTAAAGGCTGTTGTTCCTAAAATTTCAGTCACTTAAATACACCCACAAAACAAGAATATGTAGTCTCCATTTCCCCTGGACTTTAATTTGCTCAGTTATACCTCAGTGTCGTAGCAGCACTGTGTACCTGACACAGTGCTTTGATCTTATCGTACCCTTTGTACTGACCCAAAGGAGATCTGAGTCCTTTCTCCTTTTGAGTTTGAATCACAGCCTTAATGTGGTCTTTCTTGCTTTCTGTCCTTTTTCCTAATGTAAAAGTGTTTTGATGCTTCTTGTTTGTATTGGGTAGAATGGGGATAAGATTTTAACTGGATATTCTTGAATTGCTTTTACAATAAACCAGTTTTATAGTCTTTAGAAAAAAAAAAAGGTTTATTCAGGTTCTTCTCTCCTGAGGCCATTTAGGTAGTTTTATGTCTTTCTAGGAATTTGTTCGTCTGCCTTAGCCAACCTGCTGGCATACAAGTGTTCATAGTATTTCTCTATGATTCCTTTTATTTCTGTAAAGTCTTTAATATTCCCTCTTTTGTTTCTGATTTTCCTAATTTGAGCCTTTTTCCTTTTTTCTTGGTTGGTCTAGGTCAGTGATGCTGAACCTTTTAGAGCTTTCAATGATAACACATAGCCATAGGTACACCACTTAAAAGTTTGTTAATTTTTTTTGTTTTCCGAAGAAAGAACTTTCAATTTTCATTAGTTTTTGTGTTTTTTTTTTTTTCTATTCTCTATTTCATTCATTTCTCTTTTAATATTTATTATTTCTTCCCTCACACTTGCTTTAGTTTCAGTTTGCTCTTCTGGTCCTTTAAGGTGGGACATTAGGTGATTGATTTGAGATCTTCCTCTCTTTGTTTCTCCCTGTGATGCTGGGAATGAAACCCAAGGCCTCACAGCCCCGCTCATGCTAGGAAAATGTCGTATCACTGAGCTGTGTCTTCAGCTCCTTCCTTTTAATACAGGCGTTTGCAGGGATGAATTTCCCTCTCAGCTTTAGCTGAATTGCCTAAGTTATGATACATTGAACTTTCATTTTCATAGATTTTTAAATTTTTAGATCAATTTTAGATTTACAGAACAATTGTGAAAACAGTTCAGTTCCCATATGCCCCATATGTAGGTTATTAATATTTATAAAATTAATATAACAAGTACTGTATTATTGCTGTATTAATATATTTGTTACAATTAATGTACCAATACATTGATATACTATCATTAACAATGTCTATGCTTTCTTTACATTCCTTAGTGTTTTTTTGGTTTTTTGGTACTGGGGATCAAACTCAGGACCTCGCACTTGCCAGGCAGGCAATGTGCTGGTGAGCTAAATCCCTGGCCCGTGTTCCTTAGCCTTTTAACCGGTATCTCTTTCCTGTTTAGGGTCCTACCCAGAACACCACTGCACAGTTAGTTACCTTGCGTCCTTGGGCTCCCCTTGGCTGTGACGGTTTCTCAGACTTCCCTTAGCTTTGAGAATCTTGACACTTTTGAAATGTACTGGTCAGGTGTTTTGTAGAGTGGCCCTCAGTGGGGACTAGTCTGATTTTTATTTCATGATTAGATAGACAGAGAGGTAGGGAAGGAATCATTTTTTGAGGAAAATAACAAAGAGTCAAGTACCATTTTCATCATGTCACATCAAAAGTATGTACAGTCAGCATGACTTATCCCTGTTGTGATAATCCTGATCTCCTGGCTGGGAAGTCTGTTAGGTCTCTTTGATACAAACTTACTCTTTTTAAACCTTTTCATATTCTATTCTTTGGAAGAAAGTCACTACATAAATAGTAGAGTTAGGTTTTACCTCTCTAAGTGATGTATTCCTTTAAAGAAGAGATTTTGTTTTTGTGTTTGTGATACTGGGATTTGAACCCAGGGCCTTCACACTTAGCTATATCCACAACCATTTGTGGTTTTTGTTTTGTTTTGTTTTGCTTTGCTTTCTTTTGCTTTGAGACCGGGTCTCGTGAAGTCACTCACTTGCCCAGGCTGGGCTCAAACTTGTGATCCGTGCCTCAGCCTTCTAAGCGCAGGATTACAGGTATGTGCCACCTTGCCCAGCAAGAGTACTTTTCTCTCAGTGATACACATGCCCAGCAGGGTGGCTTTCCAGGGCCAGTCCTTGTTGCATGCCTTTCGGCCCCTTCTCCGAGGTGGTGCTCTGATGTGGTGGCTGTGAAGTCAGCTTATTCTGGCCCTCCAAGATTATCTTTTCGGGTTACTGAAATTGTTTCTAGGGAATTCAGAAGCTGATGTTCAAAGAGCATCTACTCAGTGAGAAGTCCAAATATCATATTCAATCGCTTTCCCACTTGCTGGTGAGTAAGAAGCTAGGTGGTTATATGAGCATATATCTAATCTCAGTGATGGGGAGTTTAAGACCTACTGTATGTGTGCAAATTAATTAAAGTCAAAAGCAGGTCCGGTTATGAGATTTAACTATTCAAAGTGCAGATGAGTATGAGGCAGTGGTTTTAATACTTTTTGACTCAGATCAAAGTAAAAAATACGAACTATCACCATGGTAGTGCATGCCACCTTTGGAGATTTCACCAACTGGTACTTTTCAGCTCTGAGGCTGTCTACTCTTTTCTATTTCATTTTTTTAAATGCTGCTCATAATTTTCTGTTTTTTAAAGTACCCACTAGTAGGTTACAACTGCCATTTATAACTTACCGTGATACACAG